ATACAGAGCCATTGTTGTTGCGATCTTTACTGTAAAACACTGCTACCTTGGAGGTTAAAGGGAGAGTAAAACTGTTTGGTTAGGGGAGGTCTTTGATTGGCTAAAACTCGAACAAAACGTGCTGCCTATGGGCCGATTGCACAGCCAATCAAATCGCAAAGTGGTTGTTAAGCACGCATGCGTCCGAAAAACGCTTCGGTTGAGAACGGGCCTAAGCTACGTGTAGAATGCCTTCAAAGGTGAAATCTGTCAGGTTCATATTTATGTATGGCCCACTGTCTGCAAAATATGACACTCGTAGTACATGCTGCAGAAAATAGCACTTTCGTCTACAAGTATAATTACTCATCAGCTCCAACCAAGTAATATTGATGTCTCTGCTGGATAGTAAGGTAGTTTCTTATAGCAGCATGCAATTTGTGTAGTCGCTCTGATCTATATTGGTCTGTGTAGGCTCAACCTGTTGCGACGAGGTGATTTTTGTAAATCTTTCCCATCTTTTTTTTTTTTTTTGCATAGTTCCCCACAATTAATAATAGAGTTTATGGGGCTTATGATGGATGTCCTTCCATGATACCGATATATGCTCAAGTTCAATTTGACTGTTTACTGTTACAGTCGATTACGTGCCCCAATTCAGAACAGATCTTAGATTACGGCATTGTAGGTTAAAAAAAATCAAGCGGTGAATGGGTGATCATAATAGTTCGGACCAGGATCAGTAACGAGAAGCAGGGTTGCGTAACAAACAAAAAAAAATTGGTGTTTCAATTATTCCAATAAAACCGCATACAATTATTGTTTGAGCGCGGTACCAATTGCGTTCAAAAAAGATTCGTGTATGCTGCTGGCTAAATACTTTGATTCTTGCGTTCTATGGACAATGTAATGGCTTGATTTAAGGAGCGTTTAGTGCACCCTTCTTCTTGCGTTTCTTGGCGCACGTCTGGGAGCTTTCCCGTGAGAATCCTAGCTGCTAGGTTAACACCTACGTACTCCAAATGTAAGCTGTTAAAGTATCCTCATTCTGCAATTTTCTGCAGGCTATAAGTCGCCTGGTAGACACGCACGGCAACGACCGTGAAGATGCAGAGAGACTCTTCTCACGGGCAGGCCTGGTGTTTACTGTTAATCGGCGAGCGATGCACCCAACCACGCTGGAGACGCTTCTCTTCCTCGCTTATAATCGTACTTTGTGAACCCCCCTCCCCCAGCTTGTTGCATCTGCCGTTCAGCAGGTAGAGCGTCGTACTCGACGGCGAGTTGAGTGATAAAAAATTGTCAATAAACAAATTATTGATTGACCTCGAGCAAGGTCCCCAATTAAAATACAATATGATTGTGCGCAAGAAGACAATTTTTTGTAAAGATTCATTTAAAAAGGTAACCTACATATTCTAACGGGACAGCTACGTGATGGATGAGGACGCTGAATGGACTCTATCCGGAGAAACGTCTACGTGAAAAATTTGATGAAATTGTAAGGCGACCCCAGTGAGCGATGAGGAAGGGATACTATGACATACCGTCATTCGGCTACTCCATTAATATATGGCTGTGATGTCTGGTCGAACTAGTCACATCTGAATTTGAACATCACTCTTAAACAATTATATCGTCCGTAAAGTTTTTTTTTTCTCGATTTGGTCCATGATTCACAAGTGCCGCCATAGCGTACAAGCCTGGAATCCGAAAAGCGATCGAATGCTGCCAGCAGCCGATGTAAAATTCTTGGAATCAGGGGCTTCCACCGATGTGTTGATGCACTGAGAGTATATCTGATGTCGCCATCGCGATATCTATCTCAATACGCTGAGTCCTTACTTAAAAGTAATCTTTCTTTGCTTCTTGTGTTGATGCATTTCATACACCGGGGTATCAGGATGTGTTCACTTCATGTAACCAATAATGTATTCTCTGGATTTATGTCCTGACTTTAGGAGGCGAGTCATTCTAACTCAAAACAACTGTAGAATTTTATACTCAGAAACCCAAATTTACTCAAGTTACTCAAACTTTGCAAGAAATTTCTGTTGACTTTGAAACTACTGTTATATAATACTTCCACCGGATAGTCGTACCCAATATAATGGATATCCCTCCTGATATTAGATACACGTGATTTCTGCTCGTATCTGAAGCAACATCCTTAACCCTTTTGTGAACGGACACTTTTGACCTGGTTATATTATACTTTAGAAGGCCAAGTCATTAGGCCGTCAAAGGGGACACTTTTTCCCCCTTTCATAAACTACGGTACAACAGCAAATATTCTGCAAATCCTTGTAGTTCAAGGCGATTCTGCCTCGTCCACACACAAAATTCAATGAAAGGGGGCATAATGCCCCCTTTCATGGGTGACACGAGT